GGAAGCTTATTTACAACGGAGTACTAAATGAACATCCATAATATAATATATTTATAACAAGTTATACTTATTTCTATTCAACGTAGTCACGTAAGAATACGTTGGTTGATGAACTAATAAGGCGTTTTCTTTAATTATTTAATTTAGGAAGGGATTTGGTAAAACCAAAAGGACAAAAATAAGATGAGTGATATATGAAATGATTACAAGTAGAATGTTTTCAGTCGCTCTCAGGCTCTGACTCTTAGGTCTCCAGCGAGGGCCCCTGTGTATCCGCACGCGCACCAGCCGCGTGGACCCACCGCTGACTTTATTTTTATCAAAGGTGTAAAGTCAAAATACGCAAAATAGCAATTACTCGGAATGACGCCGCCGGTTTGAGACTGAGAGAAGCGGTAACCGGTCTCCCTCCATCATTTGCCGCCTCTCTCACCCCACCCCCACCCCCAAATTTCTCCTCACGCAAGTTAACTCTTCCCAGCCAAAAAATAAAAAAGATTTTCTTTTCCTTTGAATTATTGTAGTTTTTAAGTTCTTAGGTAGTACTTATTTGGTCACACATAACAATCTATTGGAGGCGAATCTTAAATTTAAAATTTATCGGTTCTAAAGCGACCTTTAAGTTAATATTTTATGATAATTACGTTCATACACTAATATTAATATATAGTTATTTTGATAAATTTCTTAATACTTATATAGGGTCTTGACAAATATTATTGGACCAAGATAATACATTGTGGATCCCCTCCAGCATACCAGAAATACAGTATTCCTTTTCCCTTTGTATGTTTTACCTTGGCCCCGTAAGTAAAGCAGATGATAAGATTGGGATAGATAACAAATCGGATACTGTATTATATTTGCGCTATTATCCAAAAGTTTCGTACACCACATTCTCAGTTTTGTGGCAATCATCGATCTATAACTAACAAATTCTTGTTTTAGTTTGAAACCAAAAGATTAAGTAAACAAAATGAGAAAGACCGGTACTCATGACCAGTTAATATCACATTATCAAACCGGCCAGTGCTTTATCTTCTGCTATTTCTTTCTTTTTGTTTGGAGGGTGGGGTTGTCAATTCTTCTTTTGGGTCCTAATGTACTAATCATCTCAAAGATTTGGGACATTGCTTCTCATAGAGCAAAATGCGGTGAGTTGATGTGTCAGCATCGTTATTATTTATTCTGAACTAAATAAAGGGCATGATTATATCTATCTAGTAGCCCATATATCTTCTTGGTCACTCTTCCATTTACATTTACGTTTAAGGATTCCGCTTTTTATTGAAAATAGATTTTCTAACATTTCTAGTACCAACTAATTTATTCGGGAGAGACATTTTACGATGTCATGATGCGCCAATTTCCTGCATGGCCATTCTTTTAATACTTCTGACTCTCGGGAGTCTCTTTGTAGGATACTTGATCAAAATATTCGCCCTTGGTCTATGCGGATCAGGGCCCGGCTAACGCGTCACAAGACCGAAACTTAGAGGAATTGACGGGCGCTGCACAAGAGATGGAGCATGTGGTTTAATTCGATATAATGCGCAAAATCTTCTATCAATTTTATGATATTGATGATTGCTATTGGAAAGAAATAAATGACTCTCTAAGATGCCATTCTTTTGATGAGATTGATGAATGTCATTATATAATTAAGGATGAACCTCAATCATTCAATATATACGACGCATATTAGAGAAGTATTAACTCTAAAAATATTACCAAAATTAACTCTAAAAAGTAGGTGATGTCAAGATTCACCTACCAATCTGCCAAAAGTTTAGAATAACATTAGCCAAAGACACACGAGAGTGACAAGAGCCAACATGTTATTATTAATTATCGACTATGTTTTACTATTGGTTCTGTGGTCCTTACATACGGGTGGCTGACTATCCAAAGCTTAAGTGCAAGTTGCTTGAGAAATGAAAGAACGGACTGTACTATTTGGATGCTAAATTCATTGTCAAAAGCATTCAGGATTCAGGAGCTGATTTTAGTAAAACGTTTAGATGATGACATTTGTGAACTAAAATTGGTGGCAATAGATATTTGACATAGACTTCCACCACTAACCCAAAAAATGAGGGGGAAAAAGGAAGAATTAATCCTTTTCTAGAACTATAATAGCTTTATTTTACTTATTTTGTAGTTATCGCAGAGTCTATTTATACGAGCAGAAAAAGTCATAAGGTAATATTCATCTGATAGACTCCTTGCTTTTATTAGCCTTCATGTAAAGGTACAGCAAATGAAAATTATGCTAATTTATTAACTTATCTATTCTTTTTTAATTTCTCACTCGATTTCTGTTATTTGTGGCTTGAATTATTTCCTTGTATTTTTAGGAAACTCATAGTCCCTATAGGTTTAGGAAAACCCATTGGCCTAATAGATTTGAGAAAGGAAAACCTATAGTCTTTGTCCACATGATCTATTAGGACAATAGGTTTTCCTAAACCTTGAGTAAGCAGAATTTGCTGAATGGGTACAAAAATCAAGTTTTGAATTTTTGTGAGCATTGTGTGTTTGGTAAACAGACAAGGGTAAAGTTCATCAAGAAGGCCGAGCACAAGACCAGAGACAACATAGATTATATGCACTCTGACTTGTGGGGTCCAAACAGAGTTCCCTCCAAGAGTGGTGCCAGGTATTTTATGACTTTGATTGATGATTACTCAAGGATGGTGTGGGTGTATGTTCTGAAAATAAAAGATCAGGCATTTTCGACATTTGTTAAATGGAAGACGATGGTTGAGAGGCAGACGAAAAGAAAAGTTAAGCATCTTCGAACTGACAATGGGTTAGAATTTTGGAATTCTGAGTTCGATAATTTCTGGAGCAGGGATGGCATAGTCAGACACCGCACTTGTGTCGGAACACCACAACAAAATGGTGTTGCAGAACGTATGAATAGAACGTTTTGTGATAGGGCACGAAACATACTTTCACACTCATGTGTTAGCAAAGATTTTTGGGTTGAAGCAATCAATACAGCTTGTTATTTGGTTAATAGATCTACATCCACAACTATTGAGTTCAAACCTCCTTTTGAGGTATGGTCCGGTTCGCCTACTGATTATTCAAAGTGAAAGATATTTGGTTGTCCTGCTTATGCTCATGTGAGGGATGGAAAACTTGAGCCGAGGGAAAAGAAGTGCATATTTCTAGGGTATGCAACTAAAGTGAAAGGTTATAGGTTGTGGTGCACAGATAAAAAGACTCCCCGGTTAATTATCAGTAGGGATGTAACATTCAATGAATCTGCCTCACTGGACAGTCAGAGGGAGAAGGCAATAGCATAAACTGATCGTGGTGTCAGTGACCTCATAGAGCTAGAAATTGAATCTCCACTAGCTCAGCCCAGTAGTTCTAAAGTAGAGGAAGTGGAGGAGGTGCAAAATAGTGATCAAGATGATAATGTTGATGCACCTGCGCAACAACAACCATATAGCATTGCAACATGCAGAGAGAAGAGAGTGATCAATCTACCGCAAAGGTTTGCAAACATAGTTGATGGGAATCTTCTGGGATATACGAATCTAGTGGGATTTGCTTTGGCAGTTGCAGAGACCGTTTTTGAGTGTTATAGCTACTCAGAATCTATTCAGAGTACAGAACCAAATCGACAGATTATTGCTATGGCTAAAGAGATTGAGTCTCTTAACAAGTTTAGGCGTTGCCTAGACTTGGTTGATGTGTGTGGCAATGGATAGAGCCTTGCGAGGGCTGAGGGCAAGGTAGAGAGACGTTGTTCCTGTTGATGAAGAGAATTCAAGCCAAAGGGAAGATTTTTTATCTGTGGTTTGAATTATTTCCTTGTAATTTTAGGAAACCCATAGTCCCTATAGGTTTAGGAAAACCCATTGTCCTAATAGATTTGGGAAA